TTCGGTTGTAAGAAGTGGCATGTGATGAGAGGGGAGCGGCGCGGGAGAAAATTTGCCGTTTCAGCGCGCGTATATACCCCCCGCTCGACGGTAATTTTGGAGGAAAAAGTGGGCGGAGTTTGGTGTGTTGAGTGGTACCAATATAGGAGAGATGATGGTGGTTGAGGCGCGGAAAGGGGGGTCGTACGAAGTCCACCCTGGGGGAGGGGGGTCGTAAAAATTTTGGAAAACTAAGTATCAACGATAGGACCGACCCATGGCGGTCAGAGTCAATGGTGGCGCGGGGATTTCGTATGGACCTTGGCTTAACGGTCATTGTTCCATAAGAAGCTGATGGGGTTAGAGAATTGATAAGACCAAAAGTTCCAAACATCAGTGAGCCAACAAGAGTCACCTTAAGGTCTCTGTAGTTATTTAAGCCTCCCTGTACGGAGCTTGTGCCATGTAAAGGTTGTCCTTCTGAACATAATGAGGACTTCTCTATTTAATCAACGACCGGTGTTATTATCAGGAGAAGCAATAATCCTGGCTAAAAAACGGAAAATATTACGCTCCAAGACGCAGTGGAACCATGAGGAAGGCAGTAACATTAATATGGCAGAATAAGTTTGTAAATAATGGCAAGGGACAGGGAACCTGTATTTTAAGGGAGCAGGTTATCATATACCGTGATTCACGACTGTAAAAATCATCTAATCCTTCATTCCCCAATGCTAGAACCCTAAAGTACTAGCCACGGCCGACGTCGTCGCATCGCGGGCTGCGGCGGCCGGCGCGGCGACCTAGCCACCTCAACGATTGAATCGTCACCCACCCGCACTAGTTATGGACAGCATATGGGCTATTGGGGTTGGACTATGGAGGACCTATGGATACGTATTTCCGGGGTGTGGCGTATCATATCCTTACCCTGAGAGACGCTGATTTTCTGTCACTAAGCTTGTGGCGAGACAGGGTTGTCATAGACCGCCATTGTGGATGGCAAGTAAGAACTTGGGATGGAATGTCCCCCAAGAGGCCATCGCGCGGCGAAGGAAGAGACGCAGATGCGGCAAAGGACGAGTCGCAGCGCGTGCTGTGCGATATGAGACGTAGTATGGTACACTCTATTTAACCTGACGCCTAACCGCTACAGTATGCGCTGCGACTCGTCCTTTGCCGCGTCTGCGTCTCTTCCTTTCGCCGCGCGACGGGCCTCTTGGGGGACACCCTTCACTTTGCAAGCTACCGGCTCTCTTGCAGCATACTTTGTCTTAGAGACGTGCTTTCCGAGGTTTAGAAACGCAGAGTATTGCCGGTCCTAGGTTGCAACCCAGTCTCCCCCAAGCCTAGGGTAAAATCAGAGGCGGAAGACGCGTCACCCAGGGGAAGGGTGGGATGCGCCCCTGGTGTCTGCAAGGTCAATGGTTTGGATCTTCGGGAGTCCGGGGTTTTCTACCTTCTACTAGAGTGAGCTCATAAGTCTTTTACAGTACTCAGGTAGGATGGACTCCATCTTTGCGCGAAAGGGTGTGGCCGCGTGCGAAAGAAAGGACTTGTGGTGCGGTGATCAGCTCTGCATGCCTGTTGTCGCGGTTGTTCCTTGTGGACAAAACAAGTTCTATCTCCATCTGATGTGAAAATCTGCGGCGCAAGGGCTGGGGGGACTAGGAACAGAATGAACAAGGCCGCGGATCACTGCTACGTAACCCTGCGTTAGCATTAGGGGTGCGTCGCCTGTAGCAAGCATCGCATTGGACGCAAAGCCTTATGAAGGAGGTAAGAAAGGAGAGATGCTGTAATGGTGTGCATATGCGAGTGTGCCCACAGAACACCATAAAAACCTGAATCACCAGGCCCTGCGGTTGATAGGTGATTACGAGTATTCGCTTATGCCGCTGGCGCCATTTGTCGCCATTTGTGGCCACCTTGTCACGACGGCTGTTTTCACTAAATTCGGCGTAAACATTACATTCGCTTACATTACATTAACATTACATTACATTCGTACATTCGCTTTTAGAACTGGCGCTGACTAACGCATACTTTCTGCTGTCCTGGACTCTCACTTAGGTCTAGTGCCTCTTGATGGGGAAGGGGAACACCGCGTTGGGTGAACTGCGCATGCGTGTAGTGAGACATGGAATGAAAGTGGGTGAGATTCGACCAAGGCGTGAGGGATACCTTGCGCACCTCCTGAGCGCTCCTCTCGAAAAATGCTTAGTCCTGATAGCGATCAAACCAGTGAGAGGGCGCAAGCGACCGGAAAACAAGTACCAAAGGCGGCAACGTCAAAAATGAATATCGTATTCGTAATCAGGGCATCGAATTACCCCTATGAACAAACTTCCGACGAAAAATAAAATTTTGAGATTTGGGGGGCAGTGGAATGGTACCGAAAATTGCTTCGTTTTTCAGTCACTGGGCGGATCGGACTAGTCGTGGATAAATTTGCTAATGGGTTACTTTCGCTAAGTTTCAACGTCGAGTGCATAACCAATAATCATGATGATCTAAGCCGCAATTAACAACCAAATTATGAGAACTACGAAAAGTAATAATCTGAGTGCTCTTTTCCAAGTTTTTCCTTGACTGGCTTGCCTGTGGGGCCGGTGGGGCACTAGGATATGGGGTGTGGTGCGATATGAATCGCTCTTCTGTTTATTTCCTCTCTCAGCGGATGCCTACTCTGCCTCTATGGTTAGTGCTCCTTTGTTTTACTGCTTTATTTCCACTCTTGTGACATTCCCAATGTTTGTGCTCTTCGTGAGACCTAATCGTGGGCGTACCTAAAAAGGCGCGATCAAATGCTTTGTCGCAGGGCGCGCACCCAATGCTAACGACGGAATTTACGGGGCAACAGTGAATTCTCGGGCCTTTGTTATACGTGTCTGGCTCGGGGGGGGGGGGGGGGGAGGCATGGTCGACCGGCCGTAGCGCGCGACTTAGCGATGTAGCTGTAACTCGGACATTCCAGCTTTTCACGGGACATTTCAGCTTCTCACGCATGCTAAGTGACTGCTCTCACCCCCACCCCCTGAATTGGCTACATTCCCCCTGGCTTCACGAATTTCCTGTTGCCGCAACGCCCCGCGCGGCGGCTGCCCCCTTACTCCCGAGCCGACATTTCGCGCCAAAGCAAGGGGGTAAGAGGGTATGGGTGACGGTAAGGAATTTGTGAATCGTTCCGATGGAAACGGTCGTGGCCAATTTCCCGGTATCAGGGGAAACATTGTATGTAAAGTTAGCAGGAGAGTTAACCGAAAACTCTAAGCAACCGAGTACCGCACTCGTTTTTGGAACGAAAACAACGTCAGTGCCGAGGCCAAAAGGCAAGATTCACCTTTCTCAGCACCGCTAAGGTTGGGTGTAGTGCTATACAAAGCTTGAGCAGCAGTCAAAGTAATGAAGTTGGGTGTGGTTCACTAGGACAGAAAGCGACTTTTTCGCGTTTCGCAGCGCGAAACATTTTTCGCTGCAGGAACCTCAGGTCCACCGCTGTGGACCTGAGAGTTCCCGCAGCGAAAAATGTTTCGCGCGCGAAACGCGAAAAATCACTTTCTGTCCTAGTGGACCACACCTGACAATCGCCTAATCGCATGTGCGATCGCCAACTCTGAACACTCCATCAGCCATTCCTTTCGCAAATACTGCAGACTCCACGATGTCGCAGCCGTGAATATACCCAAAGCTGTTTATACCAAGGCATCTAGCGCGCTGGAGCTGATTGACAGTGTTCGGGCGCATTCGCTGGCCAAAAAACCCTTATGACAAGGAAGAGAGGAAACAGAGAAAGTAGAAATGAGAGGAGAAACTGGAGGTGAAATTTAGAACAGAATAGATAAGTAAATCGTGGACGGGTACCGACGTGTTGTCGGCGTCTACCGCGAAAATCAAAAACATGCATCTTGGCTCGGCGCCAAGCTCAAGTGGCCGTGTGATGTGCTCCTTCTTTTCGATTTCTCAATTTTTCTGTGCCTTTCAGGTGCCTTTTTCAAATCTGTACGTTACAGTTGTTCTCTGTGTTGTCTTACAACATTCTCATGGATGAAAATTTCAACTCACTGGCAGAAGAACAAAAGGAACCCGGCTTTACAGCTGCCCTTACGAGGGAGAGGGAGACTGTGAGTACTGCCAAGTTTTATGAATTCTATACGGCTTCTAATATTGAAAATAAAAAGTTGATCCGGATGCAGTGTTTGCTTGATCAGGCGTTCTAAAGCTGAAATTCGATTTAAAAAAAACCATTAGGTCGCCTGTGTGATTTCTGGTCAGTAAATAGTGGTTCAAGCCTGCTTGAAGGGAGAGGGGGACATGGCGTAGCCAAAACATTCAAAACACGACAAGCATTTACATTTTGATACTCGCTCAATTCCCTTGCAGAAGGGAAATGTTTTACGTTCCCGGAGCTTTCTCCCAGTGCGGAATCGGGCAGCGGACAGAAGTCCCACTTACATACATTTCTTTTAGAAAAATGCGGCGTGCCCACCCTACTTGTATAGCACCTCCAGCTATTACAACATTAGAGTCCAAATTCTAATTTTCGTCTGTAAAAGTATTTCGGTGCCCTGAAAACGAATATCACATTCATGTTTTTGGCGCTGACACCTTTGCAGCCAGCTCGGTGCCATAGCTGCCTCCACAATTCGATGAGGCCTTGTGTATAGGGTTAAGTGTCCTGATCACGAATGTCGCATTTGGTTTTACGCTCGAGCATATTGGAACTTATTTGCTGCTCATTTGCAATCTCTTCACAGATGAGAGAGGTTGCGCTTATGCTTAAGCTTAAGAGCAAGCCTAGGGGGGAGGGTGTGGGGCTGGTGGGAGAGGCAATATGAGCTATCACCTTGTGATTTCACACACCTCAACTACTGCCTTAAACTAACCAAAGTGGCTCATCCATCCTCGAGCCCTCCCCCCCCCCACCCCCTCCAGTAATCATTCCTACAGACGCAGAGTCCTCGACGTAAATCAAGATTTTGCGGATTATTAGTATCAAGAACTCCTCGAAAACTTCGCTTATGGGGGTAATTTGGAGTCTCGTCCAGGGGATGTGGTAGGACACTAACTGTCACCTACAGAAATTCCACTTTTGCAGAAGGAGAAAGTTTCCGAGCTGCGTTAGGCATCACTTCCCCTTTTACACCTACTCCGGGATTTCCTTCCCTTACGGAAAATTGGATTATTTTACTTTACTTTTATCGATAACATACTCACCGTTCGACATTATTTGTGGTTCAGAAATCACAGGAAGAGTAAAAATTTTAATGAATTTTTTTTTATTTCGATACTTTGCGGCTGTAGCAGAGTAATAATCGCAAAAGTTTCCTTAGTATCGACTACTTCCAGGAAGAAATAAATCACACCAAAGAAGTGAATGGCAATGTCGAAGATGCTGTCGACTTTCTTCACAACTCACCGGATGTTAATCACCCTTCGCTGGAAAAATTAGCCGGTAAAATTGCATGCTTCATTCGTTATTAGCCCTTTCACAGTTACGCTGTACGCGGCGCAAACTCACTATTCGGGAGGGGACATTTCAACACGAATGCATTCGAATTCCTGAGTAATTAATTCTTTTCGGTAGCTGTTCAGAACACTCAGCCACAGGCAGTATTCATATTTGCGTGACGAGTGTCATACAATACTAATAATAGGTTTTATAGAGAGCTGCAGGTTGTTTATGGATGATGACAGCGCAAAGATAGAAATAAGGCGGCTACCATCATGAATCTGTACCGATATACACGCTGATGAGTTGTGATATTTTATTTCAGAGCTAACAGCTGTAATGAGCCGTTTCGAGCTGGATGTTGTCACAGCCTCTACTCCACAAAGGGCCCGTTCAAAGTCTGAACCTACTCCAATGGGTCGTTTTCCAAAGACTGTTGTTGTGAAATCATTCGAGAATGTAAATGAGGTAGGCTCGAACTCCTTTTTTTTTGGTGATGGCCGCCGGAACCTCTTTTTCCTGTGTAATCTTTTTTGAGAGCATAGGTTTGTTAGCGGTTGGTTTCTGTCCCTCGCTCAAGCTTTCCAGCTGCCACTAAAACACCACATGAAAAGTCCAAGTGTGCTTAACACATTGCATACCGCGTGCGCCACCATGTGGCGCACGATTTCATACGAAAGAGCATAGTTTTATCTGATTTATTTGACATTTTTCAATGCTCCTGAACTGTTTGCACTCATTTTCAGAGCCGGGAAACCATACGTGTCATCACTGATAAAATTGTTGATAGATTAATGATGATACATTTTTGAAAAATATAAAAATGACATGGTGGTACTCATACAAGGGCGGTCCACAATGTGTTAATGGGTGTTTATTCAGCAAAAGGTGTTATGACAAACATCTCGAAATATTGATTCCCCAAGGTCTGAGAGCTTCCCACGTTTATTAGCGGTTTCGATATTCTATTAGTTGCCTTATCATGCTGCCGGGAATTTTGCCGATGACGGACAAATATGGATACATTCCGGCAAGCCAACCGAAGTAGTTTTCGTGAAATGGTCATTTTCAAATCATAGCGCTTAACCTCTCATTAGATATTCCGGAATTTACTTTTCCGAGCTGGTTTCCTCGTGTCGTATTGGGAAGCCGAGGGTTATACTTGTTAAGCCGTGCTGGCACGTAAGCGCGAGGACATATATAGCATATAGTCTGGCGATAACCTGCTTAAAGGGAAAGGGGGACATCATGGCGTAGCCAAAGGGCTGTAAAAGAGTTCATATTAAACTTATTTTGAACACATTGTATTCGATGAAGCCAATAACATTTTGGCTAGAAAAGTGTAAAAGTATATCATGATCACCAAACCGGAAGTGAAGGATTTCATTCGGATCAATTAGGCTGATACCTCATTGTTTACGATAGAAATGCTGTTCTGATCTTCTTGTGCGCTTCCAAATCGGACTACTTCTGAGTACTTTTTGTTCATGTTGGATGAACGCTTACAGTTTGATCCTACTAGTGCATTAATACCTTTACTAATTGGTTTCCTTTGTAGAAGTGGGCTGTTTACAACAACTTCTTTTCTTCTTTAGAACAACAACAACATCAACATTCTTCTTTACACAACTTCTTCCATCCCATTTTCTCAAAAGCCAATTTTTCAGAATACATCTGACGGTTATACCACCAGTGATTCTGCTGCTGTTTCTGAAATTTCGTCCCCACCAACTGCAACATCTGAGAGGAAGGAAATTGTGGGGCCTTTCCCCTCTCAAGCGATGTATGGCACAAAAATCCCAATACGAATGACCGACACAGGTTTACCGTATACTCAAGGATCAATGAGCGTGGACATTTGGCGGTTGGCTTGACGCATGATTCGAGCACCACTACAATATTGTGAAAATCACCTTTTTCAGACGGCTACTGTTACTGATTCGTGCTACAATGGCTATATGTGGAGTGGTGAACTACCTCCTCGTAATTATAGCAATCCCACGTTCTCTAGTAAAATTTTTGTGGTCGGCGGTGAGTTACCAGTGACTGGTGCCATTGTGTCATTGAAAGGACACATTTTAGTGCCATGGGATATCTCCGAAACAGCTCTCATTGATGCGTTCTCTCCTTACGGAGCTTGTCGAGTGGAGTGGCCTTCTAAGGAAGGACGTTCTTATTCAAATCAGCGTAATCGCACAAAGGTGAATTCATTCAGCTCAAGAATATGTTTCGAAATTCCATTGAATCAGTTACTTTTAGGTGACTGGGTACGTTTACATCGTTTTCGAAACCGAACGTTCGGTCAAATCTACTACAAGATTGTTCACAAGAGTTTGGTTCCGCTGGCGAGTGGTACTTTAAGTTGAAAGCTCGTCGTACTCAGAGCAGTGAGATTCGTCAGGTAACTTCACAAATTATTGTTGGATAATTCGAAGAGAGGGAGTCTCAGTGTGAATCATTATACACATGTATTCTTCACTTCTTCACTTATTTTGTTTTTGGTTTTTATTTTTATTTTTGTCCGTCATTTTACCATCCTTCACCTCGAAGGCGTTCCGTCTTTCAAGGTTCAAGTCATTCCATGGGTTGTATCTGACTCGTCATACGTTGACGATCCGTCGTGTCCTCTAATTCAAAAAGACTGTAACCCGTGACATTTTCTATACTCTTGGTTAGCGCCTAGTGTATGGCTTTATAAGAATGATTAGATTTTCACATTCAAATTTAAGGTCTTCGTGGGAGCGTTGCATGGAATGATCACTGCTCATGTCTTGTTTTCCATTATGAATGAACTGTACGGAAATGTAGTGTTTGTGGGAATTGACACAGACAAGTACAGATATCCTATAGGTAAAACTTTAGTTAGAGTTTTACTGTGTTGGCTGCCGAATTGTGGATCTCCTGTTCAAGGTAGTGGACGTGTCACATTCCGCTCCCATTCGTCTTATTTTCATGCAATTGAATCAGCATTCCTGGAGATCCGTACGAGCAAGTTCTGTGAGTTTCTACGAAACCTTTCTTGGTTATTGTTACTACCATCATGTTTATATGTAATAAGTAGCAGGCATTTCCATCGTATTTTCATGTTTGCTTTTTTTTATTAATCTCGTCAAATTTCGTACATTTTTCGATCGGGATGCCTGGTCTACACGCGTAGAAAAAATGAGGTTTATTTTATGTCAGAATTTCTCTGGCAAAACTCGCAATTGTAGGCAAAAAGGTGCAGATTGATCCATTCCTCGAGGATTCCTGGTGCATGGTGTGCAACGAAAATCCAGGACCGTATTTTTGCCGTGATCGCACTTGTTTCCGTTACTACTGCACTACCTGCTGGCAGGTATTCTTCACGATTTGATAAGTACTTGTTTGCTTGGCCAGACGGTGTATCATTGACGCATTACATTAACTCGATGGACTTTTATCAACACCGCAAACTGGCAGTGTATTTTACTTAGGCGCGTCATGCGGGAAAGGGTAAAGAAGCAACTCACCAACCTTTGACCCGTCATGCACCACGCTCTGCAATTTCTCGTGCGGACGACAATGCTTCACGTGCAGATGTTGTCAAATCGCCGCCACGCTGCTATCTACAATCGTCAGGTAACGTGGCTGTTGCTCCATTGGGTGGAATGGCAGCTGTCGCTGCGGTGGCTCGTGGAACAGTGCCCCGCCACCAGCATCATGCATATCAGTACATGCAGCTGGCGCCAGCGTATCCATCAGCCGTGTACTCGCCGGCGCTAATGCAGCAGCGTTGCCGCATTGGATCAAGCGTTGCAACAGCTCCTGTCGTCACTGGTCAACCAGTTACTACCTCCCCATCGTTCATTCATCAGCGTCTCTACTAAATTGTAGCAAAACTTACTTGTTCGTCTTCTGTTATCGTCTTCATTTGATTTTTGTTGAAGATTTCTGATTTTTTTAGTTGGAGGTTCTTTCCAGCTTGCTTTATTGAAGATTTGGTACATATTCAACTCTGTTTTTTGTTTAATTCGGAACCTTTTTGATTGTAAGTCTTGACCTTCGTACAGTCTTATATAGCAATGTACTCGAACTTACCTATGGTTATGACATGCTTTTCCGCAGCCTGACAGTCTAGAGGAATATGAAAAACCTGAGGGTTTGTGTGTTATGGTTTTTTATTTCACTTGAGCTCCACTAGCAATTCCACAAAAGCTTGCTTTTTATTTTGTTATTCTGGCATAGAGTTATGGCACCTTCAGAAGAATTTATTATATAGGTTTTAATGAGTATTGATTAGAAGATAGGATGCGTCTTATGGAGCTGGTTGGTTTTCTGAGAATTCGAAGACAAAAAGCTTATGAGGTTAGTTTTACAACTTCCGTGCTTGCCTCTGAGTTTTTCATTACACGAACTCCATGTTTTATTGCTGCGTATTATGCTTGCGCTGCAGAAATGCTGACGTCTCTGTAAATTTTTTTCATTATTCGTTTCAGAGTAGTATTTAGAAAGTTTATGATTTGTTATTGCTTTAGAGTTGTCTGTTTTGTTGTGTTTTGTTTATCGCGTATGGGTTGAAGTAGCACTTGCGTTGTTTAAATAATTCAGTCGCCTTGTGTGGGTTGATTTATCTGGAAAGTTAAAATGTCTATTCCATAGAGTTATCCCTGCAATGGTTGCTATGACTCGCGCACTTCAATCCGTGTCTGTAAATGGTTTTTGCGATAAAGAGTTGTTGAACGAATGCGTTTATTGACAGCAATAAAAGTCATGTGTACAATTGGCGGATAAAAGCTGCGAGCTTTAAGATCTCACCGCCACAACCCGTATGCCGGAAGTCGGCCGAGTGGCGATGCGCTACTGAATGGATGAGGTTGCACGAGGGATGGTTTTTATGTGAATAGAGGTGGCATCGAACAAGTGCCATCCTCCGACTACAAAAGATCGTTTCCTACTGAACCGTGTTTTCCATCGACAAGTTTTAAAGGACAAAAATAGAAGGGTGCAGCATCCGGCGTTAATCAAACCCTTTCTGGTATGCGCCACGCATTCCACTTTCATCTAGAGTCGTAATCGTATCCTGATTACGATTCGGCCAATGCAAAGATTTTCAGGGTCCACATGATCCTGTTAAAGTCAGTGTACTGGTTGTACTCCTAGAGGAAGTGGTACCAACTAGCCAACTCGAGAAGGATGAAAGCCTCGGCGTACGAGCCGGAATTTGATCCACTCAAGAGTAGCGGCGTAGTTGGCCCGTACTATCCCCAGCGAGCACGTTTGGCAAGAAATCCGATTCTCTGACCACTTAAATCATGGTATTCACCTTCGGATTCAATTTACCGATTTTAATTTTTCATATTTTAATAGCTCAATACGTGAAGCATTCCAATGGGCTGATCAAGGCTTGCTGATGCATGCTGGTTTGTCCTTTACCACTATCTTTCCTTTTTTCAGGTTCCGGATGAACCCAGAGTGACTAATCGAAAGCAGGTCCAGTAGGAAATGATCGTACAACCCTGGGAATTATTCTGAGGTTCTGCTTGTTCAAAGAGCCATCCTGGCTGGCACTGCTTCGCGCAAAAGGAACCGTTTCAGAGTCTCACAACTTCCCTCATCCAGTCCGACATTTTCCGATGAAGAATCAGTGATGAAAGCCGAAATAGTGATAGAAATCAGATCAATCAAATGGGCAAGGCCGCCAAACGGGTGGTGAGCAGCTGGGCGATGTAGACGTGGACGACTGCTTTCGTGGCCGTTTCCGTGGCGGTTCCTGACTGACTTGACAGACAGTTCGAACACCTTCTGGTGAGGTGTCGTTCGGGATCGGTCGGCTCAGTAACGCCGGTATCGCTCGAAAACTGAAAATTCGAGATTTATCCAAAAATTCACATTTGGACACATTTGAGAGAAAATGACTTCCAAAGAAATCAAAAAAAAACTCCATTAGGTGAAATTAATCTCAAAAGTTAATGAATAAGCTTGAAAATGTGAAAATTTGAGTGAAATGAGCGATAAGGTTACCTTTAGGGCGATTTCCAGCCGATTTACGGACTTCAAGCGCAGCTACCTTCTATTTCAGAGAAAGAGAAGAGTGTTGAGTGCAGACCACACACCACAAGTGACGACGGCCAAGAAAAAGTGGCCTTTTTTTTTTTCTTGGCCGTCGTCACTTGTGGTGTGTGGTCTGCACTCGACGCCCTTCTCGTTTTCCGAAATAGAGAGTAATTTGCCTATTCAAACCACTAGCGGTGAGTTGAACGATCGCCACCTTATATTCTTATCCGTTCTTTATTCCTTTTATCCTCACCAAAATGTGACCAATCCATAAGTATGCAAATAGCAGTCGATGATAATGAAGGATGCGGTACCCGATGGCAGAAACATACCATCAAGTACAAATAATATCTCCTAGTATCTTCCTCATGGTCAAAATTGGAAAAAGGGAATTGGGTGGCCTCTTAGGGACACCGTTTCACGCGATGGAAACCGGATCTATAGCCACGTCCTAAGACCTTTGGCCGTCAAAATCCGTGATAAATCCGTGTCTATGTAAGAAAAAGATGGGTAATGGAGAGAGTAGAGGAGTGTCTAGTAAGTAGACGATAGGTGGCGCTTTTGTGGTGGAAGACAGACCATCAGCGGCGTGACAAGTCGCCGAAATTTCTTTCCCCTCCGGTTTTCAGACACGCCAATCGCGGTATGTATGCGAGTCATTGTCACTGAAGCAGTAATGCCTACAGATCGCCATTGCGTCATGATGCCCTGTTGAGTATCACCCCGAATTGATATGTTTCGGAGAAATAGCGTTATTGATGTAAGTGGTATTGGTGCGTTCGCAAAATCAATGGTAAAAAAGGATGCCCAGTGCTGTTCATTTTTTCCAATAGGACGCACACAGTTAGTGACCCCATTTCTACATTTCAGAGGGTAACAGACTTATCACGTCTTCAGCGAATTCCTCCCCTTTACGCGCGTGGTTTTTGAAGTCTGTCAGTGGCCGCTTTTCAGTTCTTTCCTAACGAGCAGCAGATTCCACAAATGTTAATGGTACGATCCAGTTTCTCGGAATTCATTCAGTACAAATCGGAATTAATACTTCTTGTAAAAAACATTGAAATTTGATATGTACTGATAATCAGAATAATTTCAGGAGTAAAATATTTCTTCAAATGGTACTTTGAATGGACCTCATTCAGAAAATAAGACAATCAACGTACTCTGGAGTGAACCACATTAGGGATTGGTAGCTGGGAAAATGGCGGCACTGGGCTGACAAACGGTGCACACGGCCGTCGTCGATGGTTGATTGCTGAGTTAGGCGTACGGAGCCTCTCGTGGACCATCCACCGTAACCTGAAAATGTAGACATACATAGTGTGCGATTGTAGGGGTAAAGGGCTAAGAGCCGTCACCCTAAGGAGCCAAGGATAGAATTCCGTTGACCTTAACACACAAAAGTAGGTCACTCTGCCGAGCTAAAAGTGGGCGATGACATGTCAGCCTAGATGATCGTTGTTGCCCATCGCCATTTTAGTGTAACGTACTATAGCAGTAAGAGTTCGCTGACCGCGTGCGGTCGAAAATAGGTCAAATAAATGTTTTGAAAAACCAAGAAGCAGAGTGCAATTTCCTGTGAGTTGCCGAGAGATTGCGCTGAATAGTAGGAGGTTAGGCTCCAAATGTTCCCGGGAACCTCGTCCACTTCCTGAAATTCCGTCAAGTGGAACACGGCCTTATTTGCGCTCCTCCTCCCCTTCCTCTCTGGCAGTAGAGTTTACGATGAAAAGATAGCCCACTAGAAATAAGGTAGTGGAGGTCAGTGATGCAGAGATGAACAAAAATCCAAGACAGCCTAGAACCCGAGAAATGGGAGCCCTTTTGCCCGCCAACTGGCACGTTAGGCGTTTCTCAATGAACGCTAAAGCTCTTCGGGTTAGGTAGGAGGTGGTAGGCCGGCAACGGTGCGGTTAAGGTCCTGCTAGAGGCACACCCTTCGTCGCAAAACCCGCATCGCTCCGCATCCACCGCAGACACGTCTGCCTTTCCACAAGAGGTTTCCCCTTCTTCGACTCACGACCATGTCATGGAATCCTCCTTTGCCCGATTCCTTTGTTGATAAACACCTTGTTGCCACTACCACTACCTTAATCGCAACAATTGCGTTGGCTGAGAGGCCAAGTGGTTTTGGTGTTGCTGCATTTCAACCATTATAAGCAAATACAAGTCACTGCATAGCAAAACACATTCACACGTAACCATTTTCAATAGATTTGGAATGCGTGGCGCATCACAATAATCAGCACTGACCACTTCATTTTTTGTCAGAAGTGAATTGGAGTCTTGCCTCCATTTTCGTTCCACTTTCAGCGCCCAGGTTTTTAGCCCTCGAGCAAATGGCGCCGGGCTGGGTTACGGTTCCGCGAAAAGCGAAAGAGAACTGCTAGTGAAAGAAGAAAGCCTATTAGGAGATTCCTGCAGAGATAGCACGACTGGGAACAACGCAGTTGGGACTTCACCATAATGGAGCGTGGTGAATTTCTAGTCTAATCGATACTTCCCAATCACACATTTCAAGATTAAGAAAGTTAGGACACGAATCAATGTAACTCACTTTTATTGCTCGGCTCACCATTGCGATCATCATCGGTTTTGTATATACACATATTGTGAGGTGGAAATTTTTCCCTGAAAATTACTACTGATTACCAAAATTCACAAAAATCTCTTGGAACAGACGCTGACTGGCT